TTTTGTCTTTCTTAACTTTGTTTATGATGACAGCAGGTGAAAAATAATACGTCCACTTTTCAAACATGGAACAAGAACACAGAGCACAATTAAAATATGGCACAATGGATGTGTTGCATCACTTGCAAAAACCACTAAGTGGATGTTTGTAACTTCAAATGATCACAACTGAGTTTCATTCAGAAGTAGAATTTTAAGTGTGGGATTAATGTTACTCAAATTTATACACAGCTAGAGGCTCAGCAGCACTGCTCCACAGAGGGGTGCTCACTCAACATAATGCAAACTTAAATAATGAGAATCAATTCTTACGAAATAAAGCTGTCGTATTTTGTTAGTATTATCATTTTTGAAGAATGTTGTCTTTTATTTTTATCCAATTCAGGCAAGAAAGGTAATTCAGCATAATAAATGTCACTGCATACATACCGGAAAAGGCTAAACTAATTAAGGTCAAATTCATTTCCTCACGATGGTACAACGAGTATCAAGTTTTTCTGTCAATTTCCAAATGCTACTATATTTTCAATTTTAGATACGTTCAACACAATCAGGACAGACTGAATGAGGGGAAGTACTTTCTGACTTTAGTTCAGTAATTGAGTCTTAGAGAAAACCACAAATTCCCACAGCCGTTGTTTAACAGGCTGGTTCTCAGTCACAACACCAGAAAACACATTTATCAGCCCAACTGTGACAAGTAATCTTCACTAAGGCTATCTGTCACAAAAGACAAGTGACAAGCAAGTCTATTTCCATTAGATTCAATACACTGGCCCAGCAATCTTGACACTAAGTGGAAATATGACAGGGTAGGTACACAGGCATTAATTTATGGGCAATTTTCAAGAAGCAGTAGAAAGGGGTCGAGAACCTTTTCAAAAATACTTGAAATTCTTCTAATTTCTATTCTGTTATTATTTCATCTATTATCAAAGCTGTCTTTCAAAAGATCCTTCACATCTCCGATGTTCAAAAGTGCCACCTACCTCCATTAGCATGCTTTTGCAATAAAAATTCCACATGGGCAAGACATTTTGCTTTTAATGAAATCACATCGATATATAGTATAAAATGTAAAACGTAATTTTATTAAAATATATGGGTGACAAAATTTCACTCACCTACATTTCCCTTTCATTTGAAGGTAGTTTTTAATGAATTAATAAACAATGTTAGTCTATCTTCTTTTCTTAACCAGGGAATATCATTTATAAAATAAAAAACTGAA